TAAATTTTATCTGGTTTTTGTCAAATTTTTTTATAGTAATTTTACCATTTTCAGTTGTTAAGCTTGTTACATCACCTATGTAACCAAACAAGTCTACTTCGTTCAACATTTCAGTCCAACAACTTCTATCAAGGATGTTTTCTTTTGGATTGTTTTCAGTCCCAGACCAAACCAGACCAAACTTAAACAGACCAAACCAAACCAGACCAGACTTAAAAACACTAGACCAGACCAGACTTAAACAGACCAAACTTAAACAAACCAGACTAGACCAGACTTCCGTAGTTATAAAATACACAGAGACCAGACGTTTACCAGACCAGACCAGACCAGACTTAAACAGACCAGACCAGACTTAAACAGACCAGACCAGACCAGACTAGACCATCAAATTTCAGTCCAAAAGAAAACATCCCAAGTGATAGACACCAGGCTTCATCTTTAACTCATTTTTCTAAACATAGCTTGGGCCAATTAAGCCAAATTCATACTCCCTCCGTCCCGTTGGAATGTTCCCGGTTTGACCTACACACATATTAAGGAAATAAACTTACCAGAGGATAAATTTTACTGTTTGGACACTGTTTGACACTGTTTTGCACTGTTTGACACTGTTTTCATGTAGGATAACTTTCCATTTAGGAAATGAGAACTTTCCATTGGGACATCCAAAAAAGGAAAGTGAGAACATTCCAACGGGACGGAGGTAGTATTTATCAACAGGCCCTCGACGTATTTAAAATTTGATCCCAATTGACACATATTTGAATCATAATATATAATTAAGTTGTTCGATTATTCAATTTCTAGCCTATCAACTATTTGTTTTATCAAATACATATTTGAATCATAATATATAATTAAGTTGTTCGATTATTCAATTTCTAGCCTATCAACTATTTGTTTTATCAACTATTTGTTTTATCAAATACATAACTTTTAATTACGCGTGTTGAATGTCGTAATAATGAAAATAAGTAAAGTTGAAACATATGATAATCTATTTATATATAAGAAAAGAAATGTCTCATAAAAATACAATATTACCCTTAATTCTCTCCTTAATTCTCTCATTTCATATAGCAATGCCACATGTCCATTTTACCTCAAAAGTACCGAATTCTCCAATGGTATAGAAAGGGAGCAGCCGCACGGGATGCAATTGGTGGGGCCCAATATATAAAAAACCCCAATTTTCTTTAAAGTGTTATAACCTTTTCATTTATAATCCATTTTTTTTACAAAAATATCAAAATTCATAATTTTTTGTGATCTTTCATTTGAGATCAATATTGAATATATAAAAATATAATTTATTAAAGGGCTCTATAATTATGCTTCAAATTACTATACATACATTTTTTGATCTATTTTGCTGTCAAAATTGGGAAAGTCACTATAGGTGATCATTTTTAGCTACATTTCGTAAAATGTTTTTCTTTATTTCATTAATAAAAGTAATTTAAATTAAATTTATCCATACACCAAAAGATTCAACTAAATCAACCACTGCTCTCAGAATTTCATCCATTTCAACAGATTCAACTAATTTGAGTACTACTAAACGGTCTCTAAAATCAAAATCAGACCATGAAAGGAAAAATCTAAAAGTACTAAATTTATTTAAGAATCAAAAGAATCAATTTCAATCAATTCAGCCACTTCTGTTAAAATTTCATCAATTTCAAAAGAATCAGGTGAAGTGGCCAATTTCAGTGTTACTAAACTGACTCCAAATTTCAAAATTAGAACATGAAAGTAACAATAGATCAGTGGCTAATAAAAAGGGACTTTTTGAAAAACGACTATTAGAAGTAAACAACTGAGAATCTTACAAAAGAGTTTCAGATGATTCCTAATGTAACAATTGGCTAAGATTCATTTACTTTTTTACGTACTCAACCACAATCTCACGTTTTCAATTTATTCCCACATTCATAAACTCCGATCCAAGTCAAACCGGGAAGAATTTTATGAGACGGAGGGAGTATCATCATCATCATCATCATCGTCGTCGTCGTCATCGTTGTTGTTGTTATTGTTATGGTTGTTTTTGGTGTTATTAATGTTATTATTATCATCAGTGAATCAAATCATCTTTAAAAGTAACAAGAATGAGATAGACTTACAACAGAGTTTCAGATGATTCCTGAATAATATCTTTATAATATGTAAGTGACTCGAAAATATAAACATACTTGAATTTGGTTACTATTGTGGACTTCCAATTTTGTACATACAAACACGATAGACTTATGAGCACCCTCTATTGATCAAATATTATTCCTGAAAAGATCTCTATAATGAACACAGTGCTAGAAAGAGTATCATACAGTGTCTTGACTTCAAGTGTTTTTTAAAATCATGTTCACAGTATCATAGTTTTGGATGAGAGAGAATCAAAGTTGATTTATCAATAAATGACGAAATGATATGGTTCTTACAAAAAATTTATTTGTTCACGAGTCAATGGACCATGAGTGAAGCACTAGAGTACATTATCAACTCAAATAAGAAGCCAAATGAAAATAAACTTGCGAATCAAAGGTTCACTCTTCATGATAATAAACCTGCATAGTAGAAGTTCTTGCAATAGAAAAGATATATTCTGTATGAAAAATACTCAAAGAACTAACAATCTAATGGTGGAAAGTTAATCAAAATGGAATATAATTATGTAATCACGTAATGAAAATGTGGAAGGCGCCACAGCATGAGGACTAAGTTACAGTCCAGAGATTTCCTTTGGGTATAGTCTTAGGCTTTCCTTTCCTATACTGTTTTATTTTCTCTTTTGTTTTCCTTTTCGCATTGTACAATTTACTTTTATTTATTCTATTTACTTCTATTCCATTTAATTCTCTCATTTGTTATAGCAATGCCACGTGACCATTTTACCTCAAAAGTACCGTAGTGGTCTAGCTCTCCTTAATTCTCTCAAAATTTTCTCTCTTCCATATGTAGTGCTTTTAGGTATAACATAAGTCGACTAATAATTGAACGGGAGAATTTTCTCTCTCATATGTAGTTTTTTTAGATATGACAAGATAAGCTTGCTTGCTAATAATTAAGCGAAAAATTTCTCTCTATCATATGTAGTGCTTTTAGTTATTAAAAGATAAAGTTGCTAAACAGTTGAGCGGGGGAATCATCACATATGTAGTTCTTTTTAGGACCTGTTTTTTAAAAAGAGATTCTGCTTCTAAAGTTGCTAGAATTTTGCAACAACTTCTGCTTTTAAAAAAGTGCTTTTTTTAATGAAATGGAGAGAAGTGATTAAATAAAAGTTGATAGTGTTTGAGAAAAAAGTGATTTTGAAAAGTAAAAGTGGGTAGTGTTTGGTAAAATAAGTGTTTTTTGTGTAATAGAAAAAGTAAAAGCACTTTTGACGCGGAAGCCGAGAAAAATAAAAGTTGTAGTGTTTGGGAAAATAAGTGTTTTTTAAGGCCAAAAGCTGAGAAGTGCTTTTTTAAAAGTAGTTGCAAACCAACCCTTAGTATAAGATAAGTCGACTAACAATTAAAAAGTATATCTTTTTCTCTCATACATAGTGCTTTTAGGTATAAGACAAGATAATCCGGCTAACAATTGAGTGAGAAATTTTTTTCTCATATGTAGTTGTTTGAGGTATAACATGATAAGCCAACAAGAATTGAGCAGCATATGTTAGCACTAATTTACTAATGAATGACAAGTTATTATTTAACTAATATTCGTAACCTTAATATTCATTGTTATCACTTAAACTTTATGTCACTCACTTATTGTACTCACTTTTTTAGAAAATTATTTTATTTTAAAATTAATCTAATCATGAAAATGAATAAGTGGCAAATTCTAATGAGTAGTGTCAATTATTTTTCCTAATATACTCTTCATTGAATATATATTTTATGGGCTTATATTTTATAGTATTAGCTTATTGAACTACTATTTTTTTTCGAAAATGTAGAATCCTAAAATGTTGTTTTTATTTTAATATTTAATTACATCATCATTAAAAATATAAACACCAAATGCTCTATCCCGTGCGTATGCACGTGTACTATACTAGTACTTTTTGTAAATGAATTAACTGAAGTTACTATATAAAAGCCTTTTATTTATTTTTTCATGTATTTGTTTTTAATGCAATACTCCGTATATTTTAAAAGTCATATTTAAAATTTACTAATGAATGACAAGTTATTATTTAACTAATATTGGTAACCTTAATATTCATTGTTATCACTTAAACTTTATGTCACTCACTTATTGTACTCACATTTTTAGAAAATTATTTTATTTTAAAATTAATCTAATCATGAAAATAAATAAGTGGCAAATTCTAATGAGTAGTGTCAATTATTTTTCCCTAATATAGTCTTCATTGAATATATATTTTATGGGCTTATATTTTATAGTATTAGCTTTTATTTTAATATTTAATTACATCATCATTAAAAATATAAACACCAAATGCTCTATCTCGTGCGTATGCACGGGTACTATACTAGTACTTTTTATAAATGAATTAACTAAAGTTACTATATAAAAGGCTTTTATTTATTTTTTCATGTAATTTTTTTTAATGCAATATATTTTAAAGATTTAGCTCATTCATCCGTTTGGATTACAAATTTACCTATTTGAAAAAATTAAGCCGATTGATCCGATTTACGTAAACAAACGTGCGCATCATTTTCACATTTTGAAAGAACCTGTCGGGTCATTTAATGGATCTCCAAACCTGTCAATGGATGCTTTAATTTCAATCACAGGGAGGATTAATATTTAAAAACTAAAAGTGGATACTAATTTTTTTCAAAGCCGTATTTGTCGGAGACAATAATGATAATACAGTTTCTATAATTAATTTTTGTATGGATTTGTGTATAATACTCCGTAATAAATAAATAAAAGCCTAAAATTTATTGACAAAAGAGGAGAGAGAAGCGAGCTGAGAATGTTGCGTAACATACGATACGCTATATATATTTATACTGTGAGAAGATATATACAAGAAATGTATCTCCGTATATTTAGAGAGAGAAACTCGGGAGAAGAAGATGGAGATGGGGAGATTCACATATATATACAGCGCGGTCCCCAAATTTAACGCCGCTTGAGATAGAGATAGAGATAGAGAGAGAAATCAGAGTGCCGGCGGCAATGGGAGACTCGTGCGGCTCTGTGTCGGTGGACATTGATACCATCTCCGTCGCCGGAAAGGTTTTCTTCCTCTTCACATTTATCTCCGTTAACGCATGTAAATGTCTATGAATATATCTCTGTTTGTATAAACGAGCTTTGAATTGTGCAATGGTTTCTGAATTTCTGCGCACATTTCACCCCTTGATTTATGTGTAAAGTTTGCGAGATTTTGGGTAATTTCGTGTCCGGGAAAATTAGAGTTTCTTTTGTTTTTCAAGTTTCTTTAAAGTTCAGTGCAAGAGAGCTCGTTAAGCAACATTTTAATGCGGTTTGATTGACATGTCTATTGAGCTCTGAATCTGGGATGATATGTACGGGTTCTCGCGAATGCCTAATAGGAGTAATTTACTCTGCTATGGCTCTTTATGGATAGATTAATCTTTTCTTGGCAAATAAAAGAGTTTGAGCTTTTACTCTATCAGGATATTAAGTTTGCTTCAATGATTTAACCTTACCTGAATGTGGGTTGTCTTCATCTATTCATATAAAGGCAAAACGTTTCTTTTTTTGGTGGTCTATGAAATTTCGTAGTGCATCAGTTTCAGCAGAGATCCGTTTAGATAGAATTCTCGGTACTTAGTATTCTTGTTAAATATTGGCATTTAGTATGTTACGTGTTAGGTCAGTTTGCTTTTGAGACTAATTACCTTTCTACTTTTATAAATCTTGTTGCTTCCCAATTAACAATCCCAACAGGTCTTAGAAAAACCATATTTCAAGAAAAGAATCATTTTCTTTTTATCCATTAACACAGGAGTGTAAAATTCTCGGGAACTTGTTGGTATTGTGAGATATGGCCTTCTTTATCAATGCTCATATTAGTTGTTTTCTATTTTTGAGAGGGCTCAGTTCAGTGCCGTATCCAGAAACTTTGGCGAGTGGGGGCAAACTTGACTACAATTTAGTCTCATATTTCACAAATAACAAATCACATTATTAATATTGTTTGATTAAATTTAGTTTATAATATCTATGTACAAGTATGAAAAAAAAAGAAGATTAATTTATATTACTGGTGTGTAAAGATGTAATTGCAAATAAAATGTAATAAATTTACCTAAATATAAGTTAAACAATCTTAAACATAACATAATTTAGTGAATTTTTTAGCCTTTCATTCTTTTAATATTAAAGAAAACACTTCTAATCCTATTTTAGAATTTTTTTCTACATTTAACTCTTAATTTGAGCAATTTCTTGTAAAAATTTGGACATATATATAGGGGTTGAGTTGGGGTTGAGTGGGGGCAGCTGCCCCCGCTGCCCCCATAGTGGATACGCCACTGGCTCAGTTTATATATAAGCCATTATATAATCATTTTCTAATTTTTAAAATTTCTAATTTTGATTTTGTTGTTTCATGTGATCCGGGTGAATAATCCTCACCTTTGACCAGACTGTAAAGTCCAAGAAGAATATTCATTTACCCGTGAATCTATAAGATAATACGAATAAATAGTTAATTTTTATTATCCGGAACTAGAAGATACTTTACTTGTGCTTGAGCAAATTCTTTTTTTCTCAGCTGGCTTATAGAATATTGAGATAAAAGAAACCATGAAGAAAGGGACATAAGTCACATTACTGCTGTATCTTCAATTGGAAGCTTTATCATCACTGGCCTATGTTATACTATGTTACGCTATGGTTAGTTACTTTACTGATTAGTTTTTAAATGCACTTTTTTTCTCAGGAGCATATTGTTAAAACTGGCAACGGTTCCATCTCTGTAACTGTTTTTGGAGACCCAGACAAGCCTGCTCTTATTACTTATCCTGATCTGGCTTTGAATTGTAAGGGCATTAATTTAATTTTTCATGGCTTACCTGCAAAATTTCATGACTTCCCATCAATTCCATATTGTGTAATTTTGCCAAGAACCAAAACCCTTTGTTTTCTTTTTCTGGAAGGTTTTGCCACATGCCCACCGCTTAACTGCTTAAGTAACCTATATCAAACTTTTTTAACAACTTCAAATAATGAATTCCTAAAATCTGTTGCTTTTTAGCGTGTTTGGTCAAAATATGAATTTCTCCTAGGCGCTCCTAATTTATCTATTTGTTTGATGTTTTTGAACAGATATGTCATGTTTCCAAGGGTTGTTCTATTGTCCAGAAGCATTTTCTTTGCTACTGCATAATTTCTGTATATACCACATAAGTCCTCCTGGACATGAGGTCTGACCTGGTCTATATGATTGCCTTTTTATTAAACATTTATAATACTCACATTTGTTCTAATCTGCATTTCTGGCAAGAGCTTTTGCAGTTAGGAGCTGCAGAAATTAGTCCTGAAGAGCCAGTATTATCTGTAGATGATTTAGCAGACCAGATTGCAGAGGTTCTAGATTACTTCAGGTATTTATAGTGTATATTTCTATGTTGATATTGAATGAAGACATAAGTATAATTTGTAAATTGAAGCTTGTGTAACTTTGTTCTGAAATTCTTCATTCCTTATGCAGACTCGGTGCAGTTATGTGTATGGGAGTTACTGCTGGAGCTTATGTTCTTACTCTGTTTGCAGTAAGTTATTACTTTTTTCCAAATTCTTATTCTTGGTTAGGAAATGGTCTTGTTTGCTGAGACAGATGTTTCATACCACAGATTAAATACACAAAACGTGTTATGGGTCTGATTCTTATTTCTCCTCTGTGCAAATCACCCTCATGGACAGAATGGCTATGTAATAAGGTATATTTCTTCCTACCATATACTTGCAGCGTTGATGTAAATGAAAACTAATATGTTTTTCTCCATACTTGTTGCAAAATTGACAGGTTATGTCAAATCTGCTGTACTTCTGTGGCATGTGTAGTTTCATTAAGGAATTACTGCTCATGCGGTACTTTAGCAAGGTGCTCTTCGCCTCATATTTTGATCTTGTTTTTTGAAAGGATACTTTGAACTTGTTAAATACAAGTAAACAATTTGCTAATCCCATGATATTAAATTGCAGGAGGTTCGAGGTAGTGTAGAAGTACCTGAATCAGATGTAGTTCAGGCATGCAGAAGAGTAAGTTCTTCAGCTTTTCTAATCTTCCTTACTTGAATTATTACTTATTTATTTTATTAATTAAAATATAAAACACTATGGAAAGCTGGGATTTTGCAGGTTTGCTTAGTTTAACACAGCAGTATATCTAAATTTATGGCCTATGTGATCTATATTGCAGTTGCTTGGTGAGAGACAAAGCCCAAATGTCTGGCGGTTTCTAGAAGCTATCAATGAGTATGTTATTTTTTCCCCAATAATTAGACATTATATTTGAATTCTGCCTTGTTTTTCTCATTTTACTTTATTCTCACTTGGTGATCTGTTGCTAAGAACTGCCTGACATGATAAATATGTTTACTGTGTGTTCCTATTCACTTGGTGCTTGATTTCAAGCCCTCTTTTAATGAAGTTTTAAAAAATCAGATTCTTAATGGTTTATGACTGACTATATGAAGTCAGATTGGAAACATTCTCTCTCTATGCCACGGAAATCGTATTTCCAATGGCTAGTGGGGAGCATTAGTTGCTAAAACAATATGAGTTGTAAGATTTAATCGCACGTCTTGCTTTGGCAGGAGACCAGACATCACAGAAGGCCTACGGAAATTGAATTGCCGTTCATTAATATTTGTTGGGGAAAATTCTCCTTTCCATTTGGAGGCTCTCCATATGACTTCAAAGCTTGATAGAAGGTTCAGTGCCTTAGTCGAGGTATGCCAAAAATCTAAGTTCAGTTAATCTTTTTCTGAAAAATGTAAGTTTCAAAAAACTCGCCTAGCTCTGGCTAGACACTGCTTCATAGCTTATTAATCGCTAGGTCTCCCCATGGCTTTACTGAGTATTTTTTTTAGAACGTTCTCTTAGATGGTTAAGGATCCGTTTGGATCCTGGAAAATGGAAAGGATATAAAATAAAGTGAAACAGCTAGTGTAGTTTCTAAATATGTAGATTTTGGTTATTGAGAATTATTTCTATATTAGTTGCCTACCTGGGAAAATTTAACTTTGTCATGTCTGAACCAATTTGTGAATCATTTTGGGACGAAAGCAGAAATCTGAGTGTAATTTTTTGAAGTTCTTATCACATATCGAGTGATTTTTCTTCGTGTTTTCCGAAGTCATGCCATGTACAAAGCACATTTGCGTTAGCATTAACACCTTCTCCAAACATAGCCTAAAGGTTCCACAATTCATGTGAAGATGCATTTTATGTGTAGGTTCAAGCATGCGGCTCAATGGTAACTGAAGAGCAACCTGACGCGATGTTGATACCAATCGAGTATTTCCTCATGGGGTTGGGCTTTTACAGGCCATCACATTTCAATGTAAGCCCAAGAAGCCCATTGAGCCCTACTAGCCTCTCCCCCGAGCTCTTCTCACCCGAAAGCATGGGCGTGAAGTTGAAACCTATTAAAACAAGAATTTCAATAGAGGTCTGAGAAAGGCAGGGATGATGATTTTGTGTAAGATATGTGTAGCAAAAAACATCCAGAATTGGTTTGAAGTCAGGGTAGACAGAGGGTTACAGGTGGGATTGTAGATATTGGGAATGGATATAGAAGGTGAGAGAAATCATAGAAAAGAATAAGTTCTTTTTTTATTTTTTTACATTTTACATTCCAATCTATATTTTCAGTAGTCATATTTTTAGTCCTGATGTACATGGGTACATGACCGAATAAAAATTTATTATTTTTTTATATTAATGATGATTATATTGATGATGATGATAAATATAATATCACGATGACTTTATCGGGTCACGATTCCACCGTTTTTAATATAAAAACATTCCAATTTTTTCTTATAGTATTCTGGTTTACTATCAGATCAGTTTTTTTTTGCTATCCTCCCTCAATCAGATCTAATATAGTCTAATATACTACGTATACTATAAAAAGGAGCTGTAATAAAAGAAGGGTGCCGTCTAACATGTGGTTCTTCTAGACATGGCGGCGGGACTAAACATAGTGGATATCCAATCATGCTAGTGTGCTACTACCAGAGGCCAGACTGTCATTACGATATTCTATAACCTATGTTTGAGAACCGGACTGGTGGGGTCAAGTTGGTGATCCGGAATGTTAAACCCGGTCTCGGGATTTCTTTTACTCATATAATTTTGGTCTAATAAAATTGCAATATTATCCCTTTACATGTTAGAGAATAATGTGCACCATTCACCTATATGTGTTAGGGTTGGGCTCGGGTCGGCCGGGTCGGGTCCAGGCGGTACCGGTTTTGAAAAAGTGAAGCCCGGTACCGATCCAGAATGCTATGCTAGTGGTTCCTGTCCGGACCCAAGCAGTACCTGGCTCGGGTCGATACCCACCGATTTACGAGTAATTATTATTTTTTAAAAAAAAGCCGTTGAGCCCGGCCGGGTTGGGCCCAAAAAATGAAGCCTGAAGCCCGCTCCTTATAACCATTGGTCCGGCCTCAGGTACTGGGTTAGTACCGGTTCCTGATTGGTGCAAATAGTACCGGTTCTGGGTTGGGTTGCCCGGGCCTCATCCCTGATAATGATATGTGTTAGAAAGAATAAGCTAATGTTAATCATTAATAAAGTTTAAAACTTTTGTTAGTCGAGCAAAGGCATTAGTCGAGGTGACCTATGGGTCGGGGGTGAATCGAGTTCACTCATCACTCATCAGTGAGTGTAAAATGTGTAATGTCAATCTCCAGTTCAGTGGTTATTAGCATATGAAGTAGTAGCGCACCGTGTTAACTGTTAATTAGCTTGGGTTGTGGTTCGATTGTTCGAACAGATAGATTGTTTCTTTCAAGATTTAATTTCACATATCAATTTAGGAGGGCAAAACCAACAGATTATATCAGGTCGGTCTGACGGGAACTGCTTTCAGATCGAAGTCGTTTGGGGTCATTTTTGATGGAATTTTTTGATGAAATTATTTAAGCATGTTCTTCATCGAGACTAATTTATGCCCACCAAATTTCAACTAAAAATTCAATCAGGAAGTCAATCTAATGTGGAATTGAAAAATATTGCGTTGTTTACACATATATACAAAGTGCAATGTTTGATTGCTTTCCCAATTAAATTTATGCTGAAATTTGGTGAGAATAAACTAGACTTGATGAAGAATACACTAAAAAAATTTCATCAAAAAATTCCACAGTAAAAACCCCCAACCAGCTTGGTCAGACGTCGGCTCATGTCAAGCCAACCTGACAAGATTGCCACTCTCAATTTAGAACTTAAATATGAAGGCTATAAGTTTCTTTGCTTGATCTATGAAGCTTTCCCAGGCATTCATTTTACATTCGTCCTATACGGCTATACATCCCATGTAATTATAAAGAATTAGTCCATAAATACAACAAGAAAAAAATCCATATAAAACATTGAATATGTTGGTGCAGTTATTTAAGTAATTAACATTGCATGTAACAAATTATCCCTTTCTACGTTTTTGCACCCTTTTGCAATTGTTTCCGTGTTTTCTCTAAATTTAGGTCTAATCAGTCCCAAACTCCCGGATTAGTCCGGATCGCCAGGCAATTCAGGGTTTAGGTGGATTTGCGGTTTAGTACCTTACCAAACCAGATTTGATGTGTCTCGAGTTAACCCGTCTAGCACTCACAATTTTTTGCATTAAAAAAAAATAAAAAATAGTGCTAGTAAAAAAAATAGTGCTAGTGTTTCTACTAATAGTTACACAATTGAAAACTGAAAGTACAAGCACAAACATTTTAAATAAATTGTTTTTCACAAAGGTAATTTTTTTCCATGGAGCATTCTAACTTTTGCAATTCCTAAATCACTTTTAGTAGAATCTCTAAAATAAACCACTTCTTAAAATAGAATCAAATGCAAAACGCCAGTTAATTTGAGGTTGAAAACTTTCTCCAAACAAACATAAACAACAATTGTAGGAGAAAGTATACTCCGTATATAATTGGGATTGGGCTATTCAGGGTCTATACCGTATGATTGAAATTAGTTACATACTATCCTCAGTTTTTTTAATCAACATGCTGAATTTTACACTATTCACGTGTTTAACTTTGACTACATTTTATGGTATTATTTTTACAAAAATTATTTTTTTTAAAAAATATTGTTCAATTCATCTCATTGCATATTTTCAAAATCTGATTTTTAATTATTTTTTACTAATAGAGATTAAGATATAATTACGGTCAAAGACGTGCGTTGGCAAGTATAAAGGCATAACAAAAGCTAGGCTACGCTCCCAATGTATCAAAACAAAAACAGCACAAAGTAAGCTTATAACAGTGGTAGAAAGTGAGAATTGATCAAAGATTCAAAACCATCACAATAACCATAATAATGACAATAATACTAATGTTAAGGATATTTTTACTTGGTGTTATTTCAATCCTGGACAAGACCAGACCATACTAATTCAGGTCAGACTTTAGCAGTTGTAAAATACACAGTGACCAAACATTTAATAGATCAGACCAATTCAGATAAGAACAAACATAAAATTTCAGTCCAAGTAAAAACATCCTGATACTAATATTACTATTACTAATAAGTAATACGTAGTAATAATATTAAGGAGGAGGTTCTCTAAGCATGACCATGATAGAATCCAAAACAAAATCGAGTCAGTAAGTCACACCCCATATTTCATTTTGCTTTATCCAGAAGGGGATGGCCATGCATCAACTGCATGACCGTAGAGCAATATAACATCCAGATTTATACCGTCATTAACTAATCGTGAATTTAAGGAAATTAAACAAGATCATCAAAGAGATAATAACAATAATAATAAGATTCAACCGATCCGGTGGGACTTCATCCACCATCATAATAAGATTCAACCTCTCTAGTGACCTTCCAATGTTATTCCACACATCTCTCTCACCAACTGATCCAAATATATTAGTGCACATAATGTTACGGTTTTAGAATAATAATATCTCTTAGATTTTACACAACGAAGAATGTGTAATACCTCTAAGAAACTCTTAACACTTCCTCCGGCGAATCTAGTAATAACATCATTGGGACGAATCCCGGCTACGTCAGCCGAAGAGCCTGGTTAAATCTACTCCGTATTTGATAATGCACATATATGTATCAAATCATCCGAGTAGTAAGAAGAATTATTTTAGTAGATGCATAGAGAACGTCAAGAGAAATTTTTAAGAGAAAACTATGAACAAAAGCACTTAGTTTTATGTACTGAACTTTACTTTTAAGAGGGATCTTTTTAACATAATTGGGAGTCTATAGGAGGGGAGCCTTGATGCACCGGTTACGGGGTTTGTGTGTCTGAGAGGTCAGAACTCACAAGTTCACTTCTTGGGAGCAGCCTCTTGTCAAAATAACAAGGGAAGGCTTACTACTTATGCATTTTTGTTGTGGGTCCCTTCTTGCTTACTACTTATGCATTTTTGTTGTGGGTCCCTTCCCCGGATCCACGTCTTTTGGGGACGTGGGACACCAATGTGTATACGACTGCCTTTTTAACGGGAAGCCCGTTCTAGTCTTTCGTCCCAAAGTCTGAATCTGCATCAAGACCGCACTCGCGATAGAATTTTGAAACAAGTTGGAAGAGTGGGGGAATGTATATATATACTATGTACCTCTTCAACCATAGCACCATGGAAGGTAGCGTTTTGGACAACCTTTTCTAGAATGTCCAGGCTCATAGCATAGAGGTTGGTAAGTTCCATAGCTAGCAATGGTCGGTGGATTTGCCTATCTCAATCCAAACATTAACAGTCAGTCACATCAATAATAGTGAACTGCCATTGGGCAAACACATTTGCTATTTTATTATAGGCTTAAATGGGTTTTTGTTCCATGTAATACATGAAATTTCCTTTTTAGTTCCTTTATGATTGAAGGATATTCTTGATCTAGAAAAATTAATATAATGTAGATTGAATAAATCTACGACTAGCTTTTAATTTAAGCTATGTACAACATTTTACAGGCTAATAGCCTGATAGTGAATTTAAGTGAAGTGATACTCCGTTCTAATCTTTCATTTTTAAAATGGGAAAGTTCCCGAAATAGGACTAAAACAGTTTGAAAATTCCAAAATAGGACTGTCATGTTTTTAATTCCCAAAATAGGAGTAATTACTGCCAACTTTGGAAAATACTGGCATGTTTGAAGTTTGGTACTGCCAAAACATGACATTAATTAGTCATATTTTGGGAATAAAAACATGACAGTCCTATTTTCAAACCTTTTTAGTCCTATTTCGGGTAATATTCTCTTTTTAAAATAGGTTCATTGACTATCTGAAGTTAATTCTTGAGTACTTTTGAAACACCAAATAAAGAAAGACAGAAAAGGAAACACATCACAAATCTGAGTGATAAAAAAATAAAAAAGTAATTTTACAAGAATCTAAAAGAAAGGATACTATTTGTAAGAACTAAAAACATATTTAAAATTTTATTATATTTCATTCCAATATGTGGAAGGTCATTGAAACAGAGAGTTAAACTAAAGGATAAATTTTTCCTTGTATAACATTGATGTCCAGAATTTTTGCACAAATGATCTCCAGGGGCGGAGCCAAGGCGTTGGGATGGACTGGAACGATACAAAGAATACTTTTTGAAAAAAAATTACGCATAATTTTTCACACCTAAAATAAATACATTTTTTTTAATTTGGGATGGGCCGGGGCTTAGGTTGGCCCCCTTAGCCCCTCCGCCCCTGATGATCTTGTGGGCAGTGGGCCTGTAAACCTCGAACGACCCTCATTGGTATTCAAACTAGTGTATGTAATGGTTTTTTCTATTATTATTAT